GGTGGACTTTCTCATCAAAAATAAGTAGGGGAGGGTTCTCACTGTTTTTTTTTGGGGGGGGGCAAACTCAGATTACCCTGTCAAAAATACCCAAACTCAATCAGAGGCTCGAGGCTTTTTACAGAAACCCTGGGGGGTTTTCTGCTGAAATCCTCACTTCCACATTGGCTCATCTGTCATTTTCTGCTCTCGTGCTTCAAACGTGGTTTGTTTGCTGTTGGGACCTCTTGGGCCATGATGCAGTTTTGGCATGGGCCCATCTCCAGGCTCCTCATCTGAGGGACCTCCGTATGGCACCGTTTTTATGTGTTATGTGTTTTACTCAGTTCCTGAGTCTTTGGAGTCACGGGTTGCTTCGGCCCATCAACATACTACCCTTACTAACTTGGTAGTTTGTTTGTTGCAGTTGGGGTCGAGCACAACATCGATTCCTGTCCCTCGACCTTCCCCTTCTCAACTTCTTCCTATCCCACCCTCCTGCGGTGCCACAGTTCGATGATTTACTCAACGACGCACGATCCGCCAACAGCAGTACCGGTGATTATGTGGTTAGTTCAAGCCCAGTGGGGCCTTGTCTCTTGAATTTCGTTCATATGTGGGGACCTTTTATCGATGATGTCTGGGTTCACAAGGTGTTCTCGGAGGGATATGTTATCCCCTTTCTATCCCTCCATTATTCAGTGTTCCAATCCCTTCTCCTCATGATCCCTTGACACGCCAGCATCTGTCAGAGGCAGTTCAGGATCTCATTGCACAACAGGCTATCGAACCAGTTCCACCAAGTTCATGGGGGTTTTACTCCTGCCTGTTTGTGGTTCCCAAGAAGGCCAGGGACTGGTGTACTGTCATCAGTGTATCCAATCTCAATTAGTATGTTCACACTCCTTGCTTTACCATGGAGACATACCTTTCTCTTCAGTGGGCATTTTGTCCAGGTCTTTGGATGACCAACTTGGACATTTCCAATGCTCACCTACACAATCCTGGGACAGAGCATTCCAGTCCACATCTTCAGTTTGTCCACTGGGGGGGTTGTGTACCACTTTCACACCGTACCTTTAGGCCTAGCTCTAGCATCATATGTGTTTTGTCATATAGTCTGCTCCTTTGCTCGACATATTCATGCCATGGGGTTGCACTTCTATGTTTATATGGGCGACTGGCTTTTTCTTGCTTATTCCAAATGGGAATCAGCCTGCCACACTTGTCAGCTCTTGGTCGAAACTACGTGGGTGGGCTGGTTGGTCAAATTGGAGAAGTCTTTCCTTTGTCCTACCTAATACTTTATCCATTTGGGTGTTTTTTTCAACATCCATCTCAGTCAGGCCCAGCCTTTTCCTCTCCAGCTCCATTCTATGGAATGAGCCATTCAGAAAGCCCTATCTGTTCCCTCATTTACAGCTCATGAGGTTCTATCATTTTTTGGGTCCTTCATGATCAGTGGAACATCACCTGGGATCCCTTGGATACTTCTATATCCCTTCCGTCATCCCTTGTAGACAATCTCCATTGATGGTTGAACAGGGCACACATGTTGGCAGAGGTCCTACTTTCTCCTCCATGGCCAGATTTGCATATGTTCATGGATGCATCCCTTCAGGGCTGGGATGCCTGGGTGGATCACCAGCAGGTTTCGGGTCATTGGTCTATGGAGGAGAGATTTCTTCACATCAGTGTTCTCAAACTCCTGGCTGTTCATCAGGATTTGGATAACTTCTTTTTCTGCTAGCCAGCCACTGGTTGGCTATGATCCATTTTGACAATTCTACTATGGTAGTTTATATCAATCACCAAGGTGGCACCAGGTCCAGATCCCTGTGTTTTTGCACTGTGGACCTTCTTTATTAGGCCCACATTGGGCGTGTCATGTACCAGGTGCTTTCAGTTTCATAGCTGATTGTCTTTCCCGTCTGGATCATCTTTTTATCCCATGGAGTGGTCCCTGCATCTTGCTGTTTTTTGGTAGCTCTTTCTGAATCTGGATATGCCCCATATCAATGTCTTTTCCACTGCCCTCAATCACAAGTTACCTCAGTTTTGGTCCCCAGTTCCCCATCCTCGAGCCTTGGCTTTTGATGCCTTCAGCCAGGACTGGTCTCATCTGTTTCTTTATATTTACTCTCCCATCCATTTACTTCATCGTGTGGTCTCCCTCATCCATGCCACTCCATGTACAGTCTCTCCTGATTGCTCCTTACTGGCCTGCACAGCTTTGGTTTTCTTCATTGCTCCAACTGCAGGTGGTCCCTCCCCTTCCTTTCCATCCCTCCCTGCTCCATCAACCCCAGTCACCAGCACTCCATGCCATGCCATCTGTCCTCCATCTTCATGCCTGGCTTTTGTCAGGTCCTTGGCAAGGAGTTTCAGTTTCTCTTGCAGAGTAGCTTTACATTTAGCCTATTCCATTCACCCTAAAAGTTAGAATTCTATCTGGTTGTTTCATCATGAATATACTTAGGAAGTTCAAGAGTTGATGTTCAGTTAAAAATCTTCCACACACAGAAATTGTTAATATGAGAAGAGAGGCTGCCTTAGTCACATCTGATATTTTTTTTATCACCTTTCCTACTGCAGTGTTTAGGTTATGCCCTAAGAATGGAAGCTACTGTCATTTGAAATATATTAATTTCATTAGCTTATTAAAAGATTTCTTATAATTTGATCTATTGTGAGATATCCCACATTGTAGGTTTTTGTTGTCTAATCCCCACAAAATTAGCTTCTGAAAATATTTTCTCCTGTGTGATCAGTGTCAAGTATTTTACATCCCTTGCTATGACAGTGTGGCAGCTTTCAGTCATTACTGATGTGGGAAGGGTGATTGTTCTAACCAGACATCCCAGTGTTTAGAATGTTGTCCCCACAGATCCTTTTGGAACACACAATTGGCCCAGTTTTATTTTTGTTAGTAATCTGTAACATTTTTAAATTTGTGGTCAGTACTTTAAGCCTTTGACAGCTGTTAATTAACAGATACAACTTTTTTTTAACTGAGTAGATATATTATCACACAACTCGAAATGACTTAGCATAGCCTTTGCTCCCTCCTCTGAAGTTGGCTATAAGGCAGGCTGCAGCAGATATCACTATTGCACATGTCACTGAGCATATAGATGATTTTGCACTGTAAAAACAAAGAGACAGTTTCATGCAAATGGCAGGCAACGTTCACAACCAATGTTTGATTTTAGTGTCATGAAGTGTTTATTTAAAATAACTAGGATTAGTATGAAGAACAGTTCAAAATTTTATAACAAACTTCTGGCCTACAAGATGATGATATTTATTGTCTACATTATTGATTATTTATAATTTTCCTTAAAGGTGTGTGTGTGTGTGTGTGTGTGAGGGGGATTCCTGTTTTAAGATCTGAGAGTCTGATTGTGCCATAGCTTTATTATTTGAAAATTTGTTCATGATTCTTGTTCACAAGTAGTAATGAACTTGTTGAACTGAAGTTCACTATGTCCTCATTGGTGAGATTTCATATCCCATGAAAAGTGTATGACTAGGAAGTTGCTTTGATAAAATAAAGTATCTAACTCCTCTTTGTTTTCTAAAGTGTAAATAAGAACTTGATTTTTACATATCAAACTGGCAACAGTTATGGTTTTCATTTGTATTTCCTTTGAATGTTGGTCAAACAAATGTAGAATCAAAGCACTCAACTTATTGTTACTTGTGCTAATTCCAGAGATGAAGGGAGGTATTTTTGATGTTTGCTGTGTTTATTTGGAAACTTAAATGGCTTTGCATATTACTTTTGTTACGTCCTTTAGTTGGTTTTCACCTCATTCATAATTTATGTACTGAATTACTGTCATTAACAATATTCCTCTTTTTTTTTATCAGGACAGAATCTGAAATTGTCCCAGATTTGCAATGCATTATTTTTCTTTACCACTAACATGCATTTACATCAGACTATATTGAGATGTCCATAACTGAACTAGAATTGTGTGAGAACATATCACATATTAACATATGGCTTTTTTATAAACAACTATTAACACTTCGTAGTTTTTAAAAAAGGCAGTTTTTAGATAAATCCAAGACTAAAATTTAAATTATGGCTGATTTTCATACAGAGTTTTTTGTTGCTCAACCTTATACATCCACTTTTGTTTTTACAATATAAATAAGAAAAGATTAAGGAATTGTTTCTCTTGTATACTAAAATATCTTGAACCTGCTACAGATATATGCATAGAAAAAAAATGCATAGAAGTATTTCAATATGTTTAAAATGAATAAAACATCAATGTTAAAATAAATCAAAAGCTTCCAATATCATTGATTCATTCCTACATTAAAGGAAATATTACAGTACAGGGAAATAAAAAGCATGTTACATCAAGTAACTTAAATATAATATGCTATTATGAGTGTTGTGAAGCAGATACAATATGTATGATTGAGGCCACTCGGAATATTTTCTAAACTCAACAAGCTTTTTGTGGACATGTTAACAGATTCATGTTAAAAGATCATTACAGATGTTGTTTTATTTTAAAAAATAATTTAGCTAAACTTAAAATCATTAAAACTATTGGCCATAACTTTGTACTATACACAAAGATGAAAATTTTATTTGAAGAAAAAAGTAATAATTCTCCACTTGACAATAACAAGTATTGTAAATACTGTTATATCAGTCATTTGTAGTATTGTGTAAAAGTTGTGTTTTTCTAATGAACAAAACAAAATTATAATAATCTTATTGATTTTTTCATATTTATTAAGCAAAAAATAGAATTTTACTAATAAAATGCACATCTAATTTTAAATTTTTAGTAATTAGCCACTAGATATATTTTTAGAACAAAATACATCAAAGTAATAAGTGTTTTAATACAGTTAAAATATTAATGTCAACTTCCCACTGAATAGTATGTGTAGTATTCCCAGGTTTTTTAGTCATTGGATAGTAATATAGTGTAGTAACAATGGATTTAAATAACATATTAACATATTTGCTACAATACCTGATATCCTGTGTAAAATCATTGTGGTGCATATGAGAATAAGTATTTGTAAATTGTGTGTAAAATCTTGTTTCTTGTGCTTGATTTTTCTTTTGTTTTATTGAAAGTGCTAAATGAAATAATGGAAAGAAGAAAGTTTTTAGAAGACATGAAACAACTTGGTCATGAGAAATATTATTCTGACATGATACAGTTTCAGATTTCACAGGTAAGAACCAACATTGTGCATGCAGTTCAGAAGAATAAGCTGTTAAATATTTACACAATGATCCTGAGAAGATGGGTTCAATGTAAATGGTCTAACATATCTTCTTTAATTAACAAACGAAATAGATTGAGTAATTCCTGTATATATTTAGTACTGGAAATAATTATGCAAACAGTGTGGTAAATGGGTATAAACACTACAGGTACAACACCATTTTATTGTGTGAAATAAGATGCACCAGATTATGCCCAGCAAACAGTGTGGTAAATGGGTATAAACACCATTTTATTGTGTGAAATAAGATGCACCAGATTATGCCCACATAGTCATAGTTTAAATTGTGATTGGTTGTTTTTATACTAATCAAAAATTACCATAACAGTGTAAAGATTATATAGTAGAAGCAGCCCTATTATACCTGGTAGTAATAAGATGAATTCAGTCATGGCTCCTAGGACTGAAATACTGCATAAATATTGGGTAGAAATTTGCTGGTCAAGGATGGATAATGCAAAAAATTGCAGCAAGTCTTCATGTTTAAGTAGGAGCTGTATGCGAGACTTTGAAAAGGGTATGTAAATTGGCAATGTTAAGAACAGAAGGGGTTGCGGTAGCTACAAAATGGAAACCTTTCAAAAGTGATGTTAAGTGTATCAGAATATGTTCTTTACAAGATAGATGCTGGTTGATAATAAACTTTACCAGTGAACTTGCTGTAAATTCAGGTTTGAATGTTAAGGGCAGTAAGATACATGTTAGTATGAAGTATTTGCAGTGGATGCATAGCTGCTTGAAAAACACTGCTAAGAAGAGGTAACAATAACATAAGATTGAAATGGCTATAGGCCCACAAACAGTGGAATGTGAAAAGCTGTAAATATCTGCTATTTACAGAGGAATCAAAGCTAAAGTTTTTCAGCAATATTTAACAACAGTTTGTTTGATTGCAGAGAGGAGAAAGGTACAATAGTCCATGTACAACATCTACAGTGAAGAAGCTTGAGGCTACATATCAGCCAATGGTGTCTGTGGTCCACACAAAATTGATGGCACTGACTGTTCACTAGTGCTGGTACACATGTGATAAGTCATGCTATTCCCTGAGGCCAATGGAACACTCGCAACAATGGCTGTAGTTATTTTCTGTCCTTATTGTCATGATATTTTTGTAGTAATAAAAATATGATTCCTAATTTTTAGCCTTAGCTAATTAAAAAAAAGACATACGTTATTACCCTATTTATTCCATTCAAAATTAGTTAGACATATTAACATGTTGCTCTGTAGAAAAACATGTATACTGAATTGTTTGCTTATTTAAATACCTTTTCCCTTCAGACTTTTAATATTAATTCTTAAATCCTTAAATAGATTCACTGTTATTTGTTGTTTACTCAACATGAAAATAAAAAGAAATGATTTAAAGTTATTGTAAGAGAAACAGAAGGTCATTTGGTTACATTGTTGATTATAAATATTTTGCCCTTGGAGCAGTTTTAACCATTTCTCTGTGTTTTCAGATTTTATCATACTGTAGCTGCATTTATTTGCTATTTGTAACACAAGTACACAATGCTTTCACAAAGCATTGATAAAATAATACATAATTAAAAGTTTACAAAATTACAGGAATATAATGTATTCAAGCTAGACTTAAAAATCATTGGAACAACCAATCAGCTTTTTTTAAAGAAAACCTTTGTGCACCACTATGTAAAACAAAATTGTAGTTTATTTCAAATAACTTTTTCATCATTCTTAAATTCAAGAGTAATCTTCACTCAGTTCTAACTTTTAAAAACGATGATAAAATTTAAATTGTGAAAAATAAAAATGAACCACATATTATTCATTTATTATGTATCTGTTGTATACACATATAGGCTTTGCAATTAGTTGTATAATTAATCTAAAATTAACTACAAAATAACATTAGTGAAAAAAAAAAAGATATTAAAATCTAATAAACTTCAAACTATATTTCTTACTAGTAGCAGGTAAACATGTTACAAGTACATGCTTATGGAAGATCAACCATGTTCAGAGAGAACATTTCCCCTAGAGTGTTTTGTATTAGGAAATAAGTTATATGTACTTATTTACATCAATGATAGTGATGGTATGCTGTGTTGTTGCACAGATGCTTTTAACTTCTTATTAGGTGACATACAGTGTTATGGATGACTTTGGTAATGTAAGGGCTTTTAGCATAATTTAATGGCCAAGTTATCCTAAAGTTAAGATTTCCTTTGTTTAGCCTTTACTTATTACAAAAAATAAAACTGTACTTTATTACTATATTTATTCACATGTTCAAATTTCATTTAATACTTAAAACACCCTGTATATTTACAAAAGTCAGTATCTTAACGATAATGCAATCATCAACTAGTGTTCCAGTATCAAGGAATGTTAAATTTAAACAATAAGAATATCAACATGTTTGTTATATAATGACACTTTTATCTGTTACATTAAAATTTCTGTTCAGCAAATGCTGTGGTTTTTGTTTGATTTTTATTTCATGTTATTCTGACCAAACACTTTGGTGATGGCTTTTTTAAAAAATATACTAATACCATACACATATTAAGTGCCGCTTTCATACTGTTGATTCAGTAAACCCCCCATTCCATCTTCCTTTTTAATGAAAGTATTGTTTTTGACATTGATGTTTTTCATATTTTAATACAGAATATAATATTACACTAAACTTCTTTGGATTCATTTCAATGTAGGTTGTTTTTCAATAATGTGTAAGAATACTTTTCACACATCCATGTTAAACATTATGTGGTTACTGTGGATGTAGCTTCATCTTCATATTGATTAATCATCAAATCAGTAAACAAAAATTTCTTTCATATGATTAGATAAAAATTATTATTATTATCATTAGACATGTTATTAATGTAATTACTTGGATAAAAATATTTGGACCAAAATGTAAATTTCTTTTGTATTTATTTTTGCCATAATTATTTCTTACAGAAAATTAAAGAGCTTGAAGCTATTGATCAAAAAAGGATGAAAGAGCTTGGAAACATCATGTCAAAAGGAAGTCTGTAGCAGTGGAAATTATTAAAAAAACTTTGTGGTAGTACAAGATTACTTTCTCATCCATCCTTGTAACTTTTTCATAATTATCAGTAGATAAAATAATATTAAGGACTTAGTAAAAAATAAATAAGAAATGCTGTATTTGAGCTTCTTCTGTAAAATAGATTAATTTATATTTTAGATTGTTAATGGCAGTATTATGATAAAACTTGTCCTCACCATATTGTTTTAAAGTAAAATTTATTTTTGAAAGCTAAAGTTAAGATTTTCCATTTTATTAAAAAAAATTTAAACAATGATTTTTACTTGACTGTGTTTTGCGAGTATTGCACTTTAAAAACTTTGAAATTTTATTTTGTATTTATGAGGTGCTGAATATTCCAGATCTAGGTTTGGAGGTGTCAAGTTTAATAAACTCTACAAAGTTAATTTAATCTATTACTTGTTTGCATGCATATCGTTGTTCCTTTCTTCACCACTGTTTATTAGTATGTTATAAAACTAACAATCAAACCCAAATGTCCTTCATTGCTATCTCAAATTTCTTTTACAATAAACAGACATTTGTTAGTCAGACTAATTATTCCAATTTTGGTGCTCAATTGCTGAGATATTTGATATATTTCAACTATTACAATAAAAATTATTATATTTATTTTTAAACAGGAAGGTAGAATTCCTTACTAGCACCCATGACCTTGTACACAAACTCTTGAATGTGCCAAGTGATAGTTTTTAACTATCATTATAACATTATTCTCAGAGAGTATCAAAATACACATCAGTAAGAGGATGATTAGCTTAGTTTGGGAAAAAAATAGTATATTTAAGGATGATAAAAAAGGCTAGTATATTATTCAGTACATCCTATTTTAATGCTAATAATTTTTTATCCCCCCCCCTCAAGTATTATCAAAATTAACTTAACATCAGAAAACATTTGAGGTAAGAAAGTTTAATATTACAGTGTTTAAAAATAACATAACATAATATTATGGGGTAACATGGGACCTATTGGTTCATCTTGGCTGTTCCATCCTCAAAACTAAATTAAAATCATTAAAAAACATTTTAAACCCAGCCCTTTTCATTCATATACTTGTCAAGCTTTTTCTTAAACTCACTTAAATTTACAGCCTCTACAACATCTGAAGGCAACCCATTTCAAAGGCCAATCACCCTGTTAGAAAAATAAAACTGTCTTAGCTGAAGATGACTCCTACCTTGCCAAAATTTATATTTGTGTCCCCTAGTCCTATTATTCTCATTGTTAAATATCTTAAAAACCTCAATCAGATCCCCCAACTTCTTTTTTTTCAAGAGAAAACAATTTGAGAGATTTCAGCCTCTCCTTGTATGACAACCCCTCCATTCCAGGCACCATTCTAGTAACCCTTTCCAACAATTCAATGTCCTTCCTAAGGTAAGGAGCCCAAGACTGAACACACTATTCCAAATGTGGCCTCACCAGTGATCTATACAATGAAAGTATAACCTCTATAGACTTGTATTCAATATTTATATAGATACAACCTAAAATCCTAATTGCCCTACCACTAGCAACAGCACACTGCTTGGATGGCTTTAGAGACTGATTGACTATTACACCAAGATCCCTTTCCTTCATAACACTATTAAGGTTATTCCCATCCAAATTATACTTATAATTTAAATTATGATAGCCCACATGCATTATTTTGTATTTATTATAATTAAAACCTATCCTTTTGTAAATCAGCAGCATACTCTTCACAGCTAGCAACACCTCCTCTTCTTCTGTAGCTTTTTCCCATATCTATACGGGGTCGCTATTTTTTTTGGTGTTGGCAGGGTTTTTTACGGCCTGATGCCCTTCCTGACGCCAACCATCCCCTAATTTAGCAGTGTAAGACTAAAGGGAAGGCAGCTAGTCATCACCACCACCCACCGCCAACTCTTGGGCTACTCTTTTACCAACGAATAGTGGGATTGACTGTCACATTATAACGCCCCCACGGCAAAAAGGGCGAGTATGTTTGGTGGGACGGGGGTGCGAACCCGCGACCCGAAGATTGCGAGTCTAGCTCCCTAACCACCTGGCCATGCCTGGCCCCACTCTTCGATTAGAGTACACCAAGAATT